AAGTGTACAAAACGCTGCAAATATTTAATATAAATTAAAACAACATAAAGAAGCTTACTTAGGTGTTGTTTACCTATCTATAAACTATCTATATATTAATTGAAATAAAAAGCTTGAGAAGAAGAGAAACTCTTTTCGTTATTTAAAAAAAAAAGTTTCATATACATTATTTTAAGTAATGAGAGAGGTTGAAAGATTTTTTTCCCACAGTCAGGACTGAATACTCTAAATTCTTTATCAAAACCTGAAATCTTATGTGTTTTTAATGTGTACCCTAATTCATAATTTTAATTAACTATTTCATTTAAATATTAAAGACAGCCTAACAGAACACATGTAGTGGTGTATGGAAAGATAATATATTATATAATAGACATACTTTTTCCTGATCAAAAACATCAGCTTTTTAGAAAACTTTTCGTCTGACAATTTTAATTTCAGATGACCCAAACATTACTATTTCTAGGACTAATTAGGATACTCTTCCATTCTGGTAAACTCCCCATTGTAAAAACTTTAAATGTGTGTTTTTTCATTCATCCTTTATATGGGTTAGTCTCATTGAGTCACAAAGACTCATTTTCAAGAGAGGCCTGTTTTAGACAAACCACAGATAAGGTACAGACAACGATAAACAGTCATAAAATGCATATAAAATAAAAAAGTAATTAAAAGTAGTGATATAAAACAAAATAAAATAAAGCTACATTATGAAACAAGGTAAAATATTAAAAACAGGAACATGTCTGCGTTGATTTTTGCATTGAACTTAACAATTGTTTAAAATCTGTTAGAGAGGTCAAAGTCGACAACTTCAGATTGTTTTGTAAGGTGTTCCATGTTACAGAAGCAGAGTAAGAAAAGGCCTTTTGCTGAGTTCAGTCTGCACTGAGGGGACGCTGCAGGTAATGTCTTGAGAGCACACGCTGTAACTGCACTGACGACGTGACTTGTAGGAGGAGATGTATGAAGGCAACAGACAAAGCAGAGATGAAAATGTACCAGTGTGAGAGCCTGAGGACCAGCTGACCAATGAATGCAGAGCGCAGTGATGATAGTTGCAGTTATGAATCTTAGCGCGCCATGTAGACGGCATCCAACATCTGCAAGGTGCTTGCAGGATCATTCATATACGTTAAATAATGTCACCATAATCAATGGCCAGAAGGAAAGTAGCAGCTACATGGCATTTCCTAGCATTCAGAGTTAATCAAGATCTATTTCTGAAAAATAAACCCAATTTTAATTTCAGTTTCTTTATCACGTTTTCAACATGCGGCGCAAAAGAGAGACGTGCATCAACCCGGATTCCCAAGTATTTGTAAGAATCCACAAACTCAATAGTTTTTAAGTATTGCACTCAGTGAAAACTTTATTTCAGATGTAAACAACACGAGAACTGAATATTCTGAATATTAATAAGCCCAGCACACTTAAAAGGGAAAAGCGGCACCATTTGTCAAAGAATAAATAAAAATGTGATAACTGACTTGTTGATTTTGGATAGAAATAAGACTCGTTGAGATCTCTAAAATGTGCTTTTTGACTCGGAAGAACTGAGTTCTTGATATTGCTTTACCCTTTCAGGTTAGCCAATAAATAATAATATTGTACTGTATAAGAATCATTTAAACATTTTAAAGATGTACTAATTCAGTCTTACTTGTAAAAATCTTGGCATATACGTTAATTAAAAAATTTCCACCTTATTTCTGAATAGTAGAAATGTCATTTTGCTTTAGAAATTTATTAGCTAGGGATTTTAGAAAGGTGTGGTGTAATTACATGTTACAACGGCCTGCCTTACAATTACCATGTTTGTGCGCATGCGTCAGTCAGAATTGACACAGTCGTGGTAGAAGTGTAGAGGCTAAGCTACATGTGGAGGGTAAAACGGGAGGTGTCCCCGACCCTAACTTTGTCAAAATTCCCAGATTTTACCCGAAACAGCTCTAAATTATATCAAATCACAAATAAGCTTATTATCTTCTTTTTAAAATGAAAGGGTGAGTATAAGCTTTTTGAGTAGCGAATATGTAGCATGAGTAAAGTTTTTTCAGGTCAAGGGAGGCGGGCAGAAGAGGAGGTTAGCTAGCGCGCTAAGCTGATTTTACTTCGATTTAAGGCAAAAATATAAACGACAGCACAGTCACTGGGACCGATTTGTTGAGGTCGTTCTTATCCTAATCTGCTTTTCGTTTCGTTTAGGTCGCGAATAAGGGAAGCTAACCAGTTAGGTGCTAGTGGGAGGGCTAAGTTAGTCAACCACGTTAAGAAGCTAAGCTAAAGCAGAAAAACCACGGATCTCTGATGGTTTCTGCTTTTGTTGTGAACTTCTGCTGCACAAAGGCTGTAAAATAAATAATGGGACACGATGTACAATCAAGGCCTGTCAAGTTAGAAAGTTGCAAGCGCGGTACTCAAACTTAAGAGGCTGTGCCAGCTTCTTTGTAACTTGATCAGTCAGAGTAAGAAGCAGGCTTCAAGTTTTGACAGATGCTTTTAGCTCTGATATCTGTGGTCATATTCTCAGATGACATAAGGGAGATTAAACTAGGGTTTTGTTTAATTACACAGACGGGATTTCACAGAGTTTGCTGCATCTCTTAATAGCAGGAGTGAGTTTCAGCTGTTTATGTGTAGTTCTATAAATACTACAGTGAATTCCTTAAGTGGAGTAGAGGGATAAAAGGTTCAGTTTCTTATTAAACATATTTTTTTGTTGCTGTTTAAGTTGCTTATACTGACCTTTTTGCCATAAATCAGTTCCATTACTTTCTTCAAGTCAAGCTGTCTTGTAATAAAAATGTGATATTTCTGCTACTTTCATCCAGACATGTCTGCAGATATTGTGCAGCAATCTCAAGTTTGACAGTTGAGCTCCTGGATTGTTTATACAAACCGATACATCATTTTAAATGCGTTATATGATTACGTTATGTTTTCTCAATGGTAACTAAATGTTTCTAGTGTTTAGAAAAAAATATTGAATGACCGACTTAACTTGTCCTCATCATAAGATTATTTAAAAAAAGTCATGCGAGTCAGTCGTGACTTTACTGGTACGCACGTTGTCAGCCATTTGACCGCTTTGCTCTTGTTCCAGTAGCCGGATCGAGCTGGGGGACGTTACGCCTCACAACATTAAGCAACTCAAACGCCTGAACCAAGTCATCTTCCCTGTCAGCTACAACGACAAATTTTACAAAGATGTACTGGAAGTGGGAGAGCTTGCAAAGCTAGGTGAGCGATGAGCCATGAAACTTCATTCAGATCATCTAACTTTGATTGCTTTAAGTAAGCAGTGTAAAGTCATAGTTTACTTTTTTATTGTAAAGCTACTAATATATTAATCACTAATTCAGAATTTAAAAAAAAATCTTGGTTGTCTTAAAGATTGTATTTCCTGTATCAAACTTGTTTTGATATTAGTTTATTTTGTTTTTTAGCGTACTTTAATGACATCGCAGTGGGAGCTGTGTGCTGCAGAGTAGATCACTCTCAGAACCAGAAGAGGCTCTACATCATGACTCTTGGTTGTCTAGCGCCCTATCGTAGGCTTGGAATTGGTAAGGCTTTCTGTTTCTCAACAAATGCTGCAAAAGATTTGTTAATAAGAAGCAAAACATGTTTAAAATCAAAACTTGCCAGGTTTGCTGTAGTTAAGTGAGGATCACAATACCACCATGTGTTCTTTGTTTGATTTTATTTTTCTGTTTTTCTTAAGGTACAAAGATGCTTAATCATGTCCTGAACATCTGTGAGAAGGATGGGACTTTCGACAATATTTACCTGTAAGTGTCTTAAGGCAGAACACAGAATATTTTTGACATGCTTTGTATGAATATTATTATTATTGTGATTATTAGCTTAACTGACTTTAATGTCACCAATATGTGTGCTTGTAATCATCTACAACTATTTTGTTTTAGCAGTAAACCCAATTCAAGAGGGCAGCTATCGTCAACTAACCTTAAAAAAAAAAAAAAAAATGGCAGATTTGTTCAATTTTTACAAATATTGACCCAATTTCTTTGGTCAGGTAGTAGCTACATTCATTTCCAATACACATTCTTGAGTATGAGCGAGAAATCAAATCAGTCAAACACCAAATTCAGCAAGTCAGAACTCAAGTAAATTAAATCGTTGGAACTAGACGAACAATATATGCACGTTGTTCCTGTTTTATTTTTGTTTTTTAAGCAGATTACTAGTCATTTTTTTCCCTCACTTGTCCGAGCATAACTAAAGATAGATTTTTTCTTATGTCTTCTAGATACACTTACCAATAACTTATCTTCTACTTTACCTTTCTATAGTCATGTGCAGATCAGCAATGAGTCAGCCATCGACTTTTACCAGAAGTTTGGTTTTGAGATCATCGAGACAAAAAAGAATTACTACAAGAGGATAGAGCCTGCAGATGCCCATGTGCTGCAGAAGAGCCTGCGCAGTCCGTGTGCACCGCCCAGCGGAGAGCTTCAGAAGACCGAATAGGGGCACAGCGTTGGGGGATTAAAGCACTTGCGTGCCCGCCAACATAGAAACAGAACTGTGCAAATGCCCCAGGGTCAACACATTAACAGTTTCTTCAGAGGACAAAGAAAACAAGTTTCACATACAAAAATTGCAGCGGTCATTTTGGAAAAATATGATTTTTTTTTTTTTTTTTTTTTCATATTTTATTGTTCCCTTAATTTCATGCAGTTGTTTGTAAAATGATAAAAGCTGCATCAAAATTGGTCCTAATGACAAAAAATGCCAACCTATGCGAGTTTCAGACATGGAAGATGGGGATGTTCGCAAATCATACTGTTTGTGTTTGAGGTGTTTTATGCGGTTATGATGCCTAATGGGGACATATCTATTTTTTGAGCATAAGGAAAGAGTTTGAAAAGACCATCACTGACGGGTCTGTTTGGGGTGTTACGTGGAGTTTCTCGTGGAACACACAACTCTTGTTCTCACAACCTGAACCCTGTGATTTGTGAGAAGTGAGTAGCCAGCATGTGTCTAGGTGGAAATGGAGATGTTTTCTCTCGGTGCGCACACAATGAAAGCTGAATGGTTCAGAGGTGGTAGGGGAATGTGATCACCACGCTCACTTTCCGGGGGACTTATAAATTTTGGCCAACAATTGTTTTTCTTTCTTCCCCCACATTAAAATGGCAAAAGGTTCAGAGGTTCCACTGGGTTTATTACAAGAGCAACAAATGATTAAATGTGAGCTAGCCACAAAGTCACAATACTAAAATGTTTTAACAGGTAATGTTTTCTTTATGAAAATGTATCAGTAACTGATTGTATGGGTTAATTTTGGACATTTAGTTCCAAGCACTATACTGAAGATTTTGAGCTATACCGTAATGCTTTTAAAGCATCTTATGTAGCCATCTTGCAAAAATGGTGTCAGACTTGCAGCACCAGCTTTCTGTTCAACTGTTCTATGGTTAAACTGATATTTCGGATGTTTTTATAGGCTCTCTTTAACAAAACCCAGAAGAAGCTCTGACCCCTCTGCATCCAGGGAGAGTTGTCTTCTCCACTGTAGTAAACGCATGTTTTGTTTTTCTTTGAAGAATTTTATCTTTTTCTGGAGTTCTATATTGTAAGACTTTTTAACGTCTAAATAAAGGAATTACTATTTGCAGTAAATATTTTCTGTGCCGCCTTATTTTACTTTTGCAAGATGAATTATATGCCCAGAAATAAGCTTGTTTAGAAATTTTTGCTGCACGCATGAAATAGGTGAATCAGGCTTCTTATGATTGGCTAAAACTTTCCAAGCTCGACTTCCTATTGGCTACCACCGCTTTAGAGCCCGCCCCTTTCGGCACGGGGTTAGGTGTATCTAGATTGTTTTGAGATTGCTTGCTAGTACTTGGCTTCCAATGTCTAAGTTTTTACTGGAACATACAGTCATCAAAATGCCGAAGTTAGAGGTTAGTGGACATTTATCTTTAGCAGCGTAGCACGGGAATGAAGTCGAATTGTTTTGCCTTTAATTTGATTAATAATTGCGTAGTTATCGGTAAGCTTAGATAGCTGCTAGCTAACTGGTTAACTGAAAGCTAATTGGTCAGGTTGCTACTTTCCAGTTAATTTAAGTAGCGAAATATTTGAGCATCGACTGTTGTCGTCGTGGCGATGTTAAAGTAAATCAAATAACAGAGCAGGTGGTTAAACGGGCTGTAATTTGCTGTAATGTCAAGAGTTCAAGTCTACACATTAGCATGTTAGCATCCGGCTGTACGTGTAGGTGAGAGCTCAGTGCAACAGCAGTTGTTAAAGGACATTTAACGTCGACTCTGTGTTTGGTTTGCAGGACGGGCACAGAGGGGATTTAAGCTCCAGTTGCTGAATGCGTCGTTTGCTGGTATCTTTTATGATACGTGTTAAAACAAGATGCCAGAGATGACTGAAAGTCAAACACCTGGTCGTAAACCCAAGTAAGAATCATATCATCTAACCAAATTATCAGAATGCAAAGGTTTGTAACAAATCTATTTTCACATTTTCTTTGTTTCTGTTTAGAAAGAAGAAAAACAAAGAATCCCACAATGCAGGTAAATTAATATAACATGGAGCTCTTGTTCAAACCATTAATTTCCATCCATCCATTATCTTTACCATCAAATTCCTGTTGGGGTCGTGGGGGGTCACTGGTGCCCATTTCCAGTCATCACTGTGTGAGAGGTGGGGGACACCCTGGACAGGTTTCCAGTTCATCCCAGGGACATATAGAGACAAACAACCATTCACTCTCTCACTCACACCTAGGGATAAATTAGTTACCAATCAGCCTAACATGCATGTTTTTTGGTCTGTGGGAGGAAACCGGAGTACCAGTTCCACGCATGCTCATAGAGATCATGCAAACTCCACCCAGAAAAGGCCCCCCCAGACAGGATTTGAACCAGCAACCTACTCTCTGAGATGCAACAGCTCTACCAACTGAGCCACTGTGCCACACCTTTAATTTCATTATACGTATAAGTAAATTGACCGGTGGAAGTTGAAATACATGTCAGGTCTAAAACAGTCTGCAGCAAATGAATGGCATCTGAACGCCATGTCTTTAAGAAATAATTTTTTTAAAATCCAGAAAATAACTTGGCGCAGTACGTTAAGTATTATCTGATAGCATTTTAAGAAACAACTGCTACTAAAATATAATTTTGTGTCAAATTGTGTTATTTTTTTTTTTAATTCAGCTAAATAAACTGGAACAAACTGTCATTGTGACGAGCTGCATAAAAGGTTAATTTCAAGATGACTTTATTGTCATTCGCATCACATGCGGTACATGAGGTGGAGCAAAACTGTGTACTCAAGGTCCCAGTTACACCCAAAAATAATAATAATAATATACCAGTAAACTATATAAAAAAAGAAACCGTATACAAGGATTTAAGATATACGCTAAACAGTAATAATATAATACAGTGTATTAAACAGCAGCCAGAACATGAGTCTATTGTTATTTTATTCATTATTTATTGTACTCTGTTAATCTTCAATGGGGAAATTAATTATCTGCGTTTTTCCCATTGCACATGTGAAGCAGTGAGCTGCCGTCTTAAGGTGCCAGGGGAGCAGCTGGTGTGGGGTGGGGTGTTTAAGGGCTTGCTCAAGGGCCCAGAGTGGGGCAAATGAGGGTGGAGGCAGGTGTGGGTGTTTCACCTTTTCCACCCACATTTTAATGTTGTCTGTCTGGGAGTTGAACCGGGTTGACCGGCGACCCTCTCTAACCTCTGCGCCACCACTTCCCTTTGTTAGAAGGTGGGTATGAAATGAATATAGCAGCTTATAGGTAAGAAATCAGCAGCACAGATAAAAGTGTGTTAATTTATAATTAAGTTTTCTGTTATTTGTTAATACAACACTGAGACATCTCGAGTTTAGGAGCCTTTTCATACATGACTAATTCTTAGGTCAGAATTAAGTACTGTAGTTTAAAAAAAAAAGTAGTTTAAAAAATAAGGAAAATGATACTGAACAAAAACAGTGAAAAAGCAGCCAAGTTAAAAGTAATAATAATAATAATAATAATAATAATAATAAAATAAAGTATAAATAAAAAAATAAAAACTTTGACAGACCTTCAGAAAGCCTGTAGAAATATTCCTGAAGAGAACTTTAAAAGATTATAGAAATGGCTGATGCCTTACAAGCAAAATGCAAAAATGAAAGGGATGTTTTTCTTCTGTGTTGTAAATTTCTTGTACATGATTTTACTTCAGAACCATTTGGATTTTGAAAGGCTTGTTTTTGTGTATCTGTATGTAGTTGAGCGACACCGAAAAGAGAAAATCAATGCAGGGATTAACCGTATTGGCAGTCTCCTGCCGTGTTCTCAAGCACTTAAACAGGTAAGAAACTAGCTGCCATTATTTGAATCAGCCCCACACAAGTGCCTGAAAGTGTATCATATATTTGTATGTATGGTTTATCTTTCATAATAGAGTAAAAACATGATATTGGACCAAGCTTTTCGCTACATCACTGAACTGAAGAAACAAAACGATGCAATGCTTTTGGATGGAGGCGATAAAGTGCAAGGTACAGTTTTATTTATTTTTATTCAAATTTTCAGGTTTATAGTTGTGTCTCATCTTTAGCTCTCCAGCTGTAATATTTACTGAAAAACTGTATCAGATATTTATTTGTAAAATATGTGACTAGTCTACCTAAACAATCTTGTAGTTAGTAGAATACTGGGGAACATGTTTCTAATTAAATGCGTTGTTTCTGCTTTGCAGCAGAGGAGATTAGTCGGCTGCGGCGTCAGTTGGAGGAACTGAGAAAAGAAAGCGCTCACTACATTGAGCTCCTCAAAGCCCATGATATCAATATTCTAGAGGACCCCACCATCCACTGGAAGGGCAAGCAACGCTCTGCCAAAGTGGCAAAAGTCACCCCCACTCATCAGCTCCCAAAGGGGATTGTCTTGTGCTCCACCAGCAACGTGAAAGGACCTGCAGACAAACAGATGAGTCCAGGAAAGCAGGCGTCTGAAACGATAATCCTCCAGCCACCAGCTGAGGCCAGGTTAAGAGTTAATGGAGCCTTACTGCAAGTTAAAACACCATCCTCCACCCCTGCTCTTCTCCCAGCTGCCACACCCATTCCATCTACGCCTGGTTCAAGAGCGATAGAGCAGTGTGTGGTTGAGACACCTGCTGCAGCCCCCACTCTGCCACCTTCTGTGTCCTACATCACCCTCCAGATCCCTGCAGCCACTACATCTCTGCCCCAGCAAGCACAGCCTGCTGCCCCAGTTCAGACAATTACTATAGATGCTACTTCATCCTCACAGCATCCCGCTGACAGCGCTGCGTCACCCGTGTCCACACACCTTACGTTTCCCCAAACTGTAACCAAAACAACTTCAGACGTTTGCTCGTTGGTCACACAGAACACTGCTGTCAGGACTGCATGTTACACTGCTATCCCTAGCAACCAACCTCTTCTCAGGGCTGCAGGCAGCACTCAGACCACTTGGACAACGCTGCAGATGGCAGGGAACACGGTCCAACCAGTCTGCCAAAGTCTGCCCTCTCCAGAGGTCAGCAACACCACACAGGCTGTCCAGCAGGTGACTGTCTGTCCAGTGGGCAGCAAAACCTCTGTTTGTCCCATTCAGATACAAAAGCAGTCGCACGTGCCTGTACAGCAAACTCCCATTGCAGGTCACATTCAGCCACATCCTCTGATAAAACCACCCCATCTACAGCCTGCTGTGCAAAACCAGGCACAACCTCAACCTGTCTTAGCTCCTCAGCCTCAGTGTGCAGTTCTTCCACGGTCAGCCATAATACCGCAGCCAGCTGTGGTGGCCCACCCAGCTGTCATGTCACAGTCCCAGCCTGCTGTACTTCAGTCAGCATCATTAGTCCCTCATCCCCCAGCAGCCCTTATCCCACAACCTCAGCCAGCTCTGGTACCTCAGCCGCAGGCTGCCATGCTCCCCCTCCTTCAGACAATGCAGGTGCTGCAGGTCAATCCAGCTGCAGCAGTAGCTTCAGGTGTGACGGCACCTCAGAACACAAACAATCCGAGTCTTGTAATCCTGCAGCAGGCCAGCACCTGCCCTGCCCAGCCCGTTGTGAGGGAGGAAATTACAAATCAGACACCATGTCAGCATATAGTCATCATTCAAGCACCCAGTCAAGCTGCATCTGCTCCTCCAAATCCTCAGGTCGGGATTGTTCCTGCCGCTTCCACTCAAACACCTACTACAAGCAGTTCAGTGTCTGCCCCTCCTTCACAAAGTGTTGGAGGAAAGCAGCTGGTGCACATTCTTCCTCGACCTGTCCAGTCTCAAGTAAACCATCCTCGACAGGTCAGCCAAGCGTCCACTTCTTCACCAGTTCCTACAACGCCACATACGATCACTGTGAATGGTCAGGTGTTTGCCCTGCAGCCCATGAAGACCTCAGACAAATCCATCTCCCTGGGTGGCCAGAGTACCCTCCAGCTGGTCCAGCCCACCACATCTGAGGAACCTACTACTAATGTGGCCCTCAATAGTTTAGGAGCCCTTAGTAGTTTAAACCAGAGCATATCTCAAGGCCTCCCTCTTTCTAGTCAGAGCAGTTGTCAGCCTTTTCCTACTCCGTTATCAGCAGGACAGCAGCAACCTCCTGCTTCAGCACCCAACTCTGGAGTCACTCTTGTGCTACCTGCCCAACAGCTCCAGGTCCCTTGTGTGAACCCAGTCACCTCAGGGCAAGTGGTTAATACCTCTAAGCCCTCAGGAAAGAAGCTATGCACAGTTTTAAACACAAAGAGAGCAGCAGCTAAAAGGAGTAAACCTGCCAAGAAGAAGGAAAACTGCTCTGCACAGGTTGCTGCTGTTCCTGTCAAACCTGCTGATGCAGGAGAGAGCCAGACAGTAAAAGTTACTTTATCTCAAGTTTTACAATCTTCACCTGCCAAAGTAACTAACGTTCTCCCAATATGCACTGCAACTTCCACAACTGCAGAAAGCGGCAAAGATTTAGGTCGTGTTACCTCGGCACAGAACACCAAGCAGCTGATTGTGTGCAGTTCAACTAGTAGCACCGCTGTCAGTTCATCTCAAAGCGAGTCAATTTCCGGTCAAACCACAGTTGGTAATATCACAACTGCAGCTACTGTCAAGCTATCAAACAGCTCAGCTTTGGTAACAGAGAGTAAATCAGCTTCAGTTTCTGATAACAGCTCAACTGTAACCAAACCTTCAGTTCTAGATGTTAAACTCACTACTGCTAGTACAATAACTAACACACCACAAAGTAAGTTAGTTGTCACTGCTGCTGTTTCTAAACAAAGTAAACCCACTGCAGTTGCCACTGAGGCACAGTACACATCTGCTGGAGATTCTACTGCGTGTTTGGCTCAAGTCTGTGCCAGCAGTAGTACAACTACTGCACCTTCATCTTTAAGCCAGAATACCCATGCTGTCTCACAGTGCCTTTCCCAGGAATCTAAAATTCAAGACCCACTGACTTGTAGTAAATCAGAGTTTCAGCCTGGCACTTCGTCCTCCGTGCCCACAGCTGTGTCGCAGTCCTCACCTGCAGCAGTGCATTCTGTTTCTCACAGCTCCGTCGCTGCCTCTGCAACAAGTTCAGAGTTTAAGAAAAAGACCATTGCTCCGAGAGCACTGTCACAACAGACTGAGGTTCCTGTGCCCCAACCCTCTTCATGCCATCCTACAGAAGTGAAGCCACCACAGGCTGCAAAACCTGACAGTGATGTTCAGGGGGAGAGGCGCCACACATCAACAGAGAAAGAGAGCTTTGTTACGGTGACTTCTGAAGCTCCATCAAGAAAAGATTTTGCGTTACCTCAGCCGGTATACACTAACCTAGATGATCAGTCTTTGGAGAACCCCATGGCATCCACCAGTCAGACTGATTCTCCCACTTCTGCAGGGAATGGGAACGGTAGAGGATTCTCTGTGGCATCAATGCTTCCTCAGGGCCAGAGCATCGTTACATCATCTGGCTCCTTTGGAACGTTTACGTTCACTTCTGAACAGGCAGAGATGCTGGCCTTGGCCATGCTAGAACAGGACAGTCCTGGAAGGAGGAGTGGGGGCTGCTCTGGGGACAACACTTCTTCAGCCAATGCCAACACAGCCCCATGGGGCTCCCCCAAACCCCCACTTGTGTCTACAAACAAAGACAGGAGCACAACTGGGCAGCAAGCTAAAATGACCAAGCCCATGGACCCAGGAACAGTTGCACATGTTGAGATGTCTGTCAGAGGACAGACTGGGGAGGGGTCTGTCAATAGGCCAAATGGAAGCAGACATTCCCAAAATATTTCCTACTCACAGTCTCAGCCTCTTCCCCAGTCTCAGAGCTCAGCACAGAGTGGGACGGCAGCCAGCCTCAGTGTGAACAACCTGGTCAGACCCAGCTCCAGCCATCAGCCCTATCCAGCCTCCCCCAGTCTTGCTGCTCAACAGGGTTCTGTTTCCTCCCCGGTGGGCACCACGGTTCATATGTCCCAAGCCTCTAACAAGTCCCTTTCACCCTGTTCAGGTGCTGCCCATGTAATTGAATACACCACCTTAAAGACTTCATCAGTAAGGACTCAGCCTGGAAATGCTGTGGGTGAGCGACAAGTGAAGATCATCTCTAAAAGGCAGGCCCAGGAAGAAGTCATGCTAAACACAGGAAAACGACCCAAACCTTGTCTCCCCACAGTTAATCCTGTTGGCCACATGGATGTCAAAGCACCAGAGCACAGTCAGATGATGGTGCCACTGCTGCCATCCACCTCTTCAGCTGTCCTAACAAGGATCAGTTCAGAAAGTGGTGGCCCTCTCTTCTCCACCAACTCCTTCATGAGTCCAGCTGCACGTCCCATCGAGGGCCACTGCCCTCCACAAGGACCTCCAGAGCAGAACCAGTCAGGGGTGCTTCCAATACCCCAGGGTCATTCACAACGTATTGTAAGCCAACCTGGTCAGCATCTGGGAGGGAACCTTTACATGAAACAGCAGCAAGAACAACAAAGACATCATCTGTACCATTTGCAGCACCACTTGACACAGACAGACCCTGCACAGCGCCATTCACTACACCAGAGGGCGCTGCAGCAGCAGCAGCAAGAGCAGCAGCATGTCCAGAAGAAACGAGGGATTGTCAGAGGTGGTCAGACTGGCTCACCTGCTGGGCTGCAACAGAAGCATCACCTGGAAAAGTCTGGACTGCAGCAGCATTCACATCAGCAACAGCAGCCTCAGCATCAACAGCAAACCCAGCAGCATCCGCAGCAGTCGCACCAACAATCGCAACAGCATCAACAACCGACGCTACACCAACCATCTCATCAGCAGCAGCACCAACATCAACAGCCTCCCCCCCAGGCACAGCATCAGCAGCAGCTACAGCAGCAGCAGGGTGCCCACTCCAGACACCCACAGCATCTGCAGCAGCAGATCCAGCAGCAGCAGCAGCACTTCAGGCATCAAGAGAAAACTTGTGAAGCCCAATCAGTGGGATCCAGGTCCCACCACAGCAGCCACATGGCCCAGCAGGACCACCTCAAGGTTGGTAATACGTGTATGCGTTGCTAGTTGAAGATACTACCATACACGGTTTTTTTTAGTTCCAAAGGGGTTGGTCGATCTCTGAGCGCCTGATCGAAGCCTCAGTTTGGCGGGCTGTGTCTCGATAAATGTTGACCCTGTTTTTGTTTAGTGTTTTCTCTAAACGACTTATAAATGGAAGAAAAATTACATTTAATGAAATGACACTAAAACCTGGCTAATTATCAGAATTTTATTTTTTTACTTTTTATATCTAGATTTTCTTTAAATCAGTTTTTTTATTAGTTTTTCATTTTGAACACAAAAAACACACACACACACACAAAAAAAACCTCCCACCCCTCTCACACCAGATCAGTCACACATACACAAATTAACCACAATGAACTACACAGGCATTGAGAAGTTTTCCTCATACATTATAAAAGGCCGTCACGTGTCCCAAAATCTTTTAACAGAACCCTTCAGGGTATATCTTATTTTTTCTAGATGAATATGACACATCACCTCTCATCCAAATTACATATGCTGGGGGATGTTTGTCCTTCCAATTGCACAGAACCAGTCTTCTGGCCAGGAGAGAGCCAAAGGCAATCACATCCTTCTCGTACTTGCTGAAGGACGTATCCACAGGGATCACCCCAAACAGTGAGATGAGTGGTGATGGATGAACAGTTTTTCCTCATATCCAAGAGAAGATGTCAAAAATAGCTTTCCAAAAGGTCAGCAGTTTGGGACAGGTCCAGAATGTATGCAGGAGTGTAGCTGGAGTTTGTTTATAAATATTACATGCAGGGTCCAGGTCGGCTTTGATCTATATCTAGATTTTAAAGGTCTTCATCGCAAACTATGAAATTGAACAAACTTTTTATTGCCTTTTCCAAGCTGTACCAATTCTTTGGCACACCTGATAATAAACAGAAGTTTAGTACAATGATGGATATTAACAGTGACATCATTTTCAAAACAGGCTAAATAATTCAAGGTTGACTTAACAAGAGAGTTCTTTATTGTGCGACTTCTTTTGACGGACCTTTTAGGTAGTAAAACAATCCTGGAACTTTAGTTCAAGAACATTTTCAAAACTGTATTTATGGAAAAACTTACATTAATGGGAAGAAAGACGGATTACATTAGTGTATGATCATCTTAATTGCAGCACCTGTGTTTCCCTACATCTAAGACAAGTTTATCAAGTGTGACATTTTTAATTAATTCTGTCTTTTTCTACATGTTCAGAAGCTGCTCAGAACTAATGGTTTTACTAATATTTTTTTTATTGTTACCCCCCCCCTTCTCAGACTGGTCAGGACCATAATGCTATGCAGAGGATGATGAGCTCCCGGAGCCTGGAGCAGCAGCTCATCTCTCCTCCCAGTAACCCGGTGTCTCGTTCGTCTGAGCTGGCCTGCGCTCCTTCTCGTCAGGAACGTCACCGCATTTCAGATTACTCCGCCGAGGCGCTCCTCAGTAAGAGTTCCACTAGTGGCGAGCAGCAACAGCGCATAGCTCTCCACCTTCAGCCTGGCCGTGGTGGCGCTCAGGAACAACCAGACCTCCGCGGTTACTTGGACACCTCCCGAGGAAAGGCCAGCATTCCACACAACCCACAGAACCGCCTCCCACCTGAGCATTCTTCTTCCAGTGATGTTCAGCGAGGTTCAGAGTGTCAGCCCTTTAAGGCGATGGGTGGTGGAGGGGGAACGCATCAACTTGGTGGTTTTGAGGCTCAAGTCTCTCGTGGGAATGATATGGCGTCCAAGTCGGTGCCTCCCTCCCAGAGGGGCCTCCAGGGGCAGCAGCAGGGAGGGTTCAGGATGAGTGTTGGCCCCGTCGCAGATGGAAGAAATCGTGGAGGCTACAGTGGAGCTCATCCTGGCCCTCAGGGTGTACAAGTTGGGTCCACGCTGCCTCGCGAACAAGAAGGTTGTCACCAGAGTTTCATGCAGAGCCTCCTTTCACCCCACCTTTCTGAGCAGAGCAACCACCAGCGAGGGGTGCAGTGCTGCCCCCCAGTCAGCATGGAGTACAGCTGTGTGCCTGGGAGCACCTCAGGAGACATCCAAGCCAAGGCCTCCAGCCCGAGTGTGCCTCCGTCTCAGAAGGCCCCAGCTATGAGACTGGCAGAGAGCAGCAAGGGCCACATTCCTCAGGTCAGCAGTAATATGCACACTGGGGTTCGAGCGGGTCTCCCCCACCCTCCAACTCCACACAGCAGCTCAGAGCCGGGTCGCTCCTCAGCCCTCTCCAGACCACCTGCTGCTGTTAGCCAGCACTCTCGTCATATTCCGAGGGACACTCAGTCCGCCAAACTGAGGCCCAGTGACCGGCCTCGATCAGGCGCTCTGAGATCGACCAACCCCTTTGAGCCCGAGGGCCACCTGCCTCTGCCCTCTGCGGGGGGAGTGCTACTGAGTCGCCCGCAGTCCGGAGGAGAGACCAGACGCAGCACCATTGTGCGCTTCATGGGGGACAGCGCGCAGGTTCCCAGCGACAACAACCTAGTGTCTGATCAGCACCTAACACAGAACTTTGGCTTTTCCTTTATTTCAGAAGGAGGGATGAATCCTCCACCTCCTATCAACGCAAACTCTACTTTCATCCCTCCAGTCAGCCAACCCAGCACCTCCCGAACACCGTCCCTTCTCCCTGTGGAGCCCCAAAACACGTTACCCTCCTTTTATCCTTCCTACTCCCCTGCTGCTCACCCCAGCCTTCCCAGTGACGTCACCCTCCAGTACTTTCCCAACCAAATGTTTCCAAGTCCCAGTGCAGACAAAGGCAGCGCACCACCACTCAACAACCGATTTGGCTCCATCCTCTCCCCACCTCGACCTGTGGGCTTTGGCCAGGCCAGTTTCCCCTTGCTCCCAGACATTCCCCCTATGCCTTCATCTGGAATCACCCCTCACATCTCAAACTTCAGCCTCACCTCGCTGTTCCCCGAGATCGCCACCGGCATGCCCTCCGACGGCTCGGCCATGCCCATGTCTCCCCTGTTGTCTCTTTCCAACCCATCGGCCGACTCTGGCAAGCAGACGAATCGTCCTGCCCACAACATAAGCCACATCCTGGGCCACGACGGCAGCTCGGCCGTGTGAGAAGACCTGATGTTGACGTCCGACGGCCGCGCTTCAGAAACAAACGTTTCTCATTGAACTTGGTAGTTTCTTTAAGTGTTGAAGAAAAACTGCGAAGCAACTAATTTATTGTTTACATGTTCATGTCATGGTTTCAGTTCAAAATGTTTTGTTTTTTTTTTAATATGTCAGAGTAATTCAGATTTTCAAACTTTTTTTTGTTAAGAAGATAGGGTAACACAACTTGAGTCAATACTTTTAACTGACTGGTTGTGGGGAAAAAAAAACAGTTCAGAACTTGAATTCTTTGTATTTTGAATCATAAGAAACCTTCTGCACAGTTACTAAAGTAATTTACTAACTTATCAGGTTGTACTGTACAGAAACCTTTCTTTTGAGAGGCTATTTTGTAAATATTAATGTTTCATATCGAAATTGCTAGATTATGTATTTGTAAATACAAAATTGATAAAGTTTATAAGGAAACTTGTATTTAATTCCATCTCGTCTTTGCTTTCTTTGTCTATTAATTTAAGCGAGAGAAACATCTTAAAAGACGCACCACAGATACATTTTTATAAAATTTTATTTACATGCAATAATGCTCCAGCTTGTGCAGCAGCAGAGTGGCTGCACTTTTATGACATTGTGAATTCAGGATCTCCTTCATTTTGATCACGTGTCTGTCACAGACTAATACTTCTTGCGTGGATAAGTGGGGGGGGGGGGTGTAATACTAACACACCAGTCACAGCACCCTCTACTGGCAGTCATTTTGGTAACCAGCATGAGTAAACACACAAGTGGCTGCAGTATAAAGTTCAGCTTATCGATGACCGTTATTTTTCCAGAATCTCTCCCACTCAGTGATGAAAACATAAATATGAGTTTTATATATATGTATATATATACATACATACATATATAAATCTGTTGTGCACTACTGAAACAATGATTTATGTTGCATACACTTGTTAATAGTTTAATAATGAGCAATGCATAATACATTTGTGTTATTGCTATACAAAATTACAAATCTGAACACACCACCTTATAGTGACAGCATCAGCTTGGTGGAAATGGTCCCTTTAGTTACTGTTGTGCATAAAGCGAAGTGTCAAAGGCCCAAAGAATGGATATTTATGAGTGGATGGGAAGTGCCGACAACAGGAAGAATGTCAAAATGCAAAACTTAGGGCCATGACTTCTTTTGTTCGGGGCTTATAAAGAGCATATGTTTGAATAAAAGCATCCTCTTGAATATGAAAATAACCATATATACAGTATAGTCAGACACTTATGTACAAAAGCATAAATATATAAATATCTCTGATACAAAAATAAATATTTTCTCTCGTTTTCCTCTGTTCAGTCTCTTATGCATCTGTAGTGTCGGCCGACCCTTCGTCCTCTAGGGACACTTCGTTTGGCAGGACGTTCACTTCTTGAGTCGAGTCTCGGGACTGTTGTGTTGTGGCTGATGAAGACGACGTGAAAATCCCATCTTCTGAAGATAGAAGATACAGAGGTTCTGGTTCTGAAGAAAATAAAACACAAAGAGGGTGCTGCTGAATAAAACTCATCTAGACCTTTGACTTTCAGAAAACTTAAACGGACTTATTAAATGTTTGCAAATGAAAGCTCATTTAATTATAACTAGAGGAATTGCATTTCCTGCGAAAATGCAGTGAGTGTATATTGCAAAAGAACTTGCTGAAAAAACAGCTGAAATTAGCTACTGAATTAGCTAATGAAGAACTAGCCTAAAGTAGAAGAAGAAAGTAGAAAGAACACATATTTGCTGAATTACCATTCAACCTGTATATAAACAAAGATTGAATGACAATAAGCAGAAATGAGCACAGACATTTAGGAAATTAGCTGAAATTAGCAAAAGTAGTTGAAAAGGCAGGAAGAAGTTTAAACTACCAGAATGACGCTGAAAGAGCTGAAATGAGTTTAAAAAAAAAGGTGGAATTAGCTGAAAAAGCAAAAAAATAGCATAAAAGCAGCTAAACAGTAGCTGAAACTAGCAGAAAAAAGCTGAAATTAGTACAAGCTGAAATTGGCATAAAGAAGTTAATTAGCCTGAAAGTAGCAGAAAATTCTCACAGCAAACTTGAATTTATCCAATAACGTCTGAAATTAGCTAAAATGCTAAAAAGGTAGCTGAAAAGGTAGAAAAAGCTTAAATTAGCATAAGAAAGCAGAAAGAACATGTTTGTCCAATTAGGCTGAAAGAAGTAGAAAGGAGTACAAAGAAATGGAAGTTATCAGAAAAAAAAGAAGCGGAAATTTGAAGAAATAAAATAACTTGCTGAAAAGTAGCTAAGAACAAGCAGAAAGAAGCTGAAACTACAAGAAGGTAGTGGAGAGAGCACATTTTTGCTAAATTAGGCTGAAAATGGTTTAAATGAGAGCAACAAATGTGGAATTAGCTGAAAAAGCTTAAATTAGTATAAAAACAGCTACATAGTAGCCAAAATAGTAGAAAAAGCTGAAACTTGCAGAAATAAGCTGAAATGAGCATAACAAGCTGACATTTGCAGAAAGAAGTTAGAAGAAGCACAAAAATGTTTTACATCCTTCAGATCTTTAGATCTTTAGTGAAATGAGCTCAATTCATTTTCTATGAGAAAAAATGGCAGAAAAGGCTAAATATTTCAAAAAGCTAAAGTTGCACCAATACCAATAGTTATTGCAGGATTGTCCTGAAAGAGCTGAACGTTTTGATTAATGACTTGTTGAAAGAGCTTGAAAACTGTGGAACGAGAATCGCGCCGAAAAAATGTACGGAAGAAAAATGGATGAAGACCGTGTGAATGCTTCATAAACACTCACACAATAAAAAGTTAAGACATATTTACGTGTATTAGTGGTTCGTGATAAAAATAAAATAAAAAAAGATGTCCATGTATGTTTACAAACATTTCTGGAGATGCCAAGTCATTTCTGATTATTATAAACATCTATTTTGTTTTGTTTCGTCATCATTTGGCAAAACTGTAGTATGTGAAGTAGCCACACATACTCCGGGATGTGTCTTGTTCTCCGTCTGCAGCGCAGAACCTGGTGTCACCTCCCACTTCACCTGAGCCAACAAGCTGACAGGAAGACGCCAGAAGGTGAAGGGTGGCGTCGCTGGGAGAGCAGCAGGTCTGTGTGTGATGATCAGCACCACTGTGGAAAACAAAAACAAACATGAGCTGAAGCTTTTCACTGTTTTTAGTAAAAGCTACTGAAATGCCAGAGAAAAGTCAGATTCTACGGACTAGAAGTTGTTCAGGATTACTGTAAACTATTTTCTCTGTGCTAATTCAAACAACAGATGTGACATGTCCATAACCTTTCCACAGAACACTTAAATCAGTTCGCTCCAGTTTTACGGACTAAAATATGAGGACGTTAATATTTCTTCACGAACTTCCAGTTTGTGTTTTTGTACAAACATACCTGGTGGAGTAATGGTAGACAGGCATATGTCCGTTTGACACCATCTGTGGCAGAAGTGTGTCACACTCCATCTCACAGTCCACCTCATCCTGAACATCACAAATGTGTTTAGATTGTTTAGTCAACAAAAGTAACACAAAAATAAAATAATAATGTTTATTCGGCCCGAGTAAAGAGGTGTTTCTACCTGCTGCAGTCCTGGCAGACACTCCTTCGGGTGGTGAGCTTTGCCGTTCTGCATGTATTCTCCGTTAACTGGGTAAACGCCATGTGGAGCTGTCATGTGTGGATCCAGTGGACAGTGTCCAACCAAGGCAAGTCCCTGAAGAGGGACCATGGTGTACTGGCACGAAGACACAGGAGCAGCCACAGTGGGGAAACACAAGTCTGACGTTTGTTCTGCAGCAAAGATAAAAATGGGTAATTAGACAAATGTACAGGTAAAATGTGGAATCCTGCCAAAATGCAATGAGCTCTGAGGAACACTCACTCTGTTTGGCCCAAGCTCTCCAGAGGCAGAAGGGGATGAAGGCCACAATGATAAAGACAAAGGCTCCCAGGACAATACCAACTATGAGGTAGGGGAGGTCACCAGGGCGAGGCACAAGCACGCTCTGGCCCCCGATCCCCAAGTCCGGGGCCTCGGACGGCACAGTCCAAAGGTGATTGAGACGAGCTGAGGAAACAAAGAGTGGACAAGTCAGATTGTCTGGCTGAGCCTTCTCTAAATGCATATATAAAATAAAAAGAGACAAACGACCTCACCTTTTGTTTCAAGGATCACCACGTTGCCAAATTCGCTCTCGCCCTTCTCGTTAAAGCTCTGCATCTTGATGTCGTAGGCAGTTTCCGGCTGTAGGTCAGTGATTGAATGCCAGTATCTGTCTCCCTCCACCACATCCTTCTTGTAGTCACTGTCATTATCGCTGTCTGTTGGCCGGTAGTAGATGTAGAAACCATAGATGGGCGTGTTGTTTACAGGGGCGTACTGTGGAGGCAAAAACAAATCAGGTTAGTAATCCCAATTAGACTAAAATCAAACATATTTCTGACTTCTAGACACTTACTGTCCATTTCAGGATGATGGTGGTTTCATTGATGGCCTCGTTGTAGGTGATGTAAGGGCCGTCAACGGGACGCTCGTGCGTTCTTCCACCCACCACAGTGTAGGCCTTAGACGGAGCGCTGGGAGGACTGGAGCCGATCACGTTTACTGCGACTACACGAAACTTATAAGATGTACCTACAAGGGGAGGAACAAACATTAATGATCTGTGTCTCAGGGCTGTAGACTCTACGGACTAATTAAGTTGTTTTCCTTGTCTGAGCGAACGTTACATTAACTTTTACATAGTTATGCTCTGATTAATGGCAGTAATCACTGAAATGACTAACAACACTCATTATGGTGATAAATTTACAGATGGTGGGCATGTAATTATGCAGAGCACTATCACTGTAATTATATAGAACAACATCCTATAGCTCCCCTTAACTCCAGCAGATCAGAGCAACTATGCTTAAATTGTATGTTCTGACCTTTCTCCAGGCCCGTGATTTCCACAGATAGTCTCGACGGAGGAATGTTCTCCACCGCAGTCACCCAGTCCTCCCCTGCCCTCTTCACCTTCTTGTACTGCACCCGAAACGACTGGATGGGGAAGCCGCGGTTGCCGCGAGGAATCCAAGTCACGTACGCCGACGTCTCGGTGGCCGTGGAGACAGTGGGCTTATCGGGAGCCTCAGGAGCTGCGGAGCAGAGGTGGTGTCGGATAAACCTCAACAACACAAACATAAATCTGACAACAATGCAACCTCGGAATGTGAAATCCCTTTCAGGACTTACTGGGAGTTCATCCTTCAGAGACAGAAATGCAAGAGAGAGTGAGAGTTGTTATTCATTGTTAGTCTAAGTCGGGAGAATCCTAGATTAGATATTATTAGTGTTGTTAATCAGAGGATTTGTTGTGGCCACATGAAATATACTTACGAGACAGCTTTGTTGCAGGAACAGCAGGAGGTTTTGGTGGGTCGTGGTGCCCTTTGCGATCTGCAGAAAGAAAAACACATTCAAGACTCAAAAACTAACTCATAAAGAACCAAGAGGCTGTATCAATCACTTCATGTCGGTCTTTAAACAAATAGTTTAAAAAGGCAACATGAGGAAAATCATTAAGACTTGAAGTTGTGTGACTTTTAGAGAGTGGACGCTACACAGAAGAAGGGAAGTTTGCTGTTGTACATGTGTGCATGGGATTTCATGAGTACTTGTATCACTGTGGACAAATGTCTCAATGCTTTCTGTCGGTGTCATACTTTTGCCAGTTCTGAAGGTCATCATGGCCGGCTGTCCAAAGCCCGCGCAGTTTTTGGCAGCCATCTCCACTTCATACAGGCTGTCTGGCTGCAGTTTGGTCAGGGTCAACTTATGGAGAGAGCCTGAGATAGTCCGGATGATCCAGTCTGCAAGAAGGTCTCCCTCCTGAAAGGCCAAAAAGGACTTGGTTACTATAAAGAAACCAAGACAAATGCAACTTATTTTACACAATAAGTCCTAGTGTATCTTTACTTTTCTGTATTTGATGATATACTCCAGCACAGGGGCTCCTCGCTCATGCCGAGGCCTCCAGGTGAGCTCATAAGTGTCAGCCTTGCCTGTGCGTGGCTGACTGAGAATAATGGGGGCATCTGCAGGTAAAATTTGCCCTGGCAGTTCAGAGCAGTCCAAGGGCAGCATGGCGCCCGTTGCCCCAGGCCTTACAGGAGGCTGCTCCTTCAGCACCTGGTCTGGGCTGAGAGGGCGATAGCTGGAAGGCAGCCTCTTCCCAGATGAAATCCCTACAAAAACACACGATCAGGTTTAAACGCAGCCAAACAGGAGAAGGAAACCCACAAGTGATTAGTAATCGACAGCTACTTACCAGATGATAGGGTTACAAGGCGAACGGAGGCTTGTGAGCTGCCCACCCCGTTCTCTGCCATGCACTGGTACAGGCCGTCATCCTGCGGGCCCACGTTCAACACGTGCAGCCTCCGCGAGGTAAGGCGGTGGCGGGGAGACGGAGCCAGGGGCTGAGCATTGTGAAGCCACATCACAGAGGGAGCGGGCTTACCGCGGGCCTGGCAGGTGAAGCGTACCGTTTCTCCGTACACGACTTCCTGCTGCTGCAGCTCCACGGTGACCTGCGGGGGCTCTGCAGGAGGAAACCAAGAGACGGGAACGCATTAACGCTTGCACAACTGAAATGCTTGATCGCCACTATGTGCTGCATTTAAAACAATCGGACAAAAAGGCTTTAGCGTCTCTGAGTAAAAGCACAAGCGCATGCATGTGTGCGCGCAAAGAAATACATAACACGGGGGGTGTGCAGAGTCAGGCAGGCCAGCCAGTTGATGGTTGGCTGCTTTTGAATAGGGTGGGAAGACAGAACTCATTTCAGCTACAGCAGCACTCCAACTTTAATTAGAGCCAGATGCTGAGAGACGAGCCCCAAACACATTTACACAAACACACAAGCACACACACACAAAATCACTGTAAAAACAGTCATCCATAACCTAGACACATTCAATCAAGTCCTGCTGCAGAATACAGAGCCCTGTCTCCACTGTGTCGTCTTTGCTTCTACGCACACACAGACCACCGATTCAACTTGGCCAAACGGGAGGCGAAATAACTCGGATCCATGACGCAGACAAAACTGGGTAAAATAAGCAAACTCTTCAATATGAAAAGCCTTTACAGAAATCTGAATTCAATCAATTTGTTGAAATGTTTGATAAACAATTTGGCTTTCTCACCAAATACTTGCACGTTGTACAGCACGGTGGTGGAGCTGGCCGAGTCGAAGCCGTTGTCCGCTCTGCAGACGTATGTGCCGGAGTCGCCTTCGCTCACTGCGTCAATCAGCAGGTTGCTGAGCAAATAGTGCGTGTTGTTGTGAAAACGCAGGTCCTGGCCATCTTTTGCCCATGTGACCTGCGGAGTGGGGATGCCACTAGCCACACACTCCAGCACCAGCCGCTGGCCTTTGGTCACCATGATGGAGCGGGGCGCCGGAGGGTAGATGATGCGAGCCGCTTCGGAGGTGGAGCCTGAAAGACATGAGGACAGACGGGATGTGAATGTTGACGAGGCTCCATTTGTTTGTCAAATTTAAAACAGACGACAGAGAAGCTAAATCAAACGGGCTTTCAACTTTTTTCTCCGAATTCGAAGATTCAAAAGCACGAGATGAGCATGTCAGCATGTGTGACTAAATATGTGCCGACAAAATCAAACGATCAAGGTCAAATTTGATGGATTTATGAAAAACAACACGTGTACAGTGTAGGCTGCAAAATCTAAAGTTAGATAAATAGTGAGATCTTTACAAGTTGGGTTTTATGGAAAGGTTGTGAACAATCTTACCTGTTGTAGACAACTCTTTGAAAAACCTATCATTAATAACCCAATATTTCTGCCACAATAACCAAAACTGTGGTAGACATAAGGACATTTTCCAGATTATTCAGCGAACAATCTCTTGACAAAATCCCTTTCTCCAAAAGTTTTATTTGTCCACAACCTTATCCTGCAGCATGGGCTGCACAAAGGTGCAGGTGGTGCTAAATAATTTAAAATAATTTATTTTAAATAAAAATTGCATGCCGATGTCAATGCCATCCATCAATCAGCCAATTGTGTGTCATGTCCAATCTTATTTTGAAAAACGGTGATAGAGCGAGTCCGCGATAAACGCACCGCGAAGTAGCGAGGGACTACTGTACAATGAAGCACCATTAAGAGCAATGGCATCCTGAAGGAAGAGAGGGGTGTTGAAGAACTTTTCTGTAGTTTACTTTTATGTCATTTCAGGGTTTTCAACTGAGGGGTTTTCAAATATGTTTTTTAAAATTACAGCTCAGGAAGTCCTTCGCAGAAAATTCACTTTAAAATATTATTAATAGATTTCTCCTCTATAATGACCCTTTCATTCATGTGGTTATATTTACAGGATTTCGGCTCATTTAATCATATTTATTTTTCACATTTGATAACTTATTAAATTACATTTATCCCTGTACAGTTATCTCTCAGTATGGTTGTAAATAAAGTCAAGTTGAGCTCATCCAAACAGCCACAAGACCTTGTTATTGTTAAAACACAGCACAGAATTTAATTGAGCAGATTTTTATGATAAACTCCAAACACCTGAAACTGACTCCCCCACTAAGAGAAATGGAGACACACATCATTGTTATAATCTGGGGCATATACAAATTTGTCTTTTAGCCTTAATATTGTTATAATATCTTATAATTATAAGAACTATAGCCGCAGACACAGCTCCATCAAAATGACGCAAATCCGCTGCGGTGACGGAGAACTTTAATCCATGTCTGTTTTACTCAAGACAAGATCTGGTTGTCCGAGATTAATTAAGGTTATCTCGGCCAAATGGAAACTGCTTGTTGATCTGTTATCTGCAATAAGTAAGATAATAATTGTTCACAACCTTTCCAGAGAACCACACTTCAAGGGTTCTGACTGTAAATTATACGGATAAAAAACAATTTCCTTCTGATTTAGTTTAAGCGATAGAGGTGGTAACTCACGGCGGATGCGCAGACGGTCGGTGGACGTGGAGGTTTTGACCTCCTGAGTGACAGGATTGTAAGCGGCACACTTGTACGGCCCTTCATCTTCCTGCGTGGCGTTGGCTATCTGCAGGTTCCCCGACGGCATGATGAGGTAGTTTCCTACAAGAAAGAATCCATTCTGGAGTGAGAGGAGCCTAACAAGCACATTTCAGGTCTCTCTTGTAAATGAGTCCCTGAGGCTCAGTGGGATTAACCTGTATAAATAAAGGTTGAATGAAAAATTAATCTTAAACAATATGGTCAGTGGGGTTACATTCTTGCTCAGAAACATTTCAAAATACATTAGATAAATCAGAAATATGAGCAAAAAGGAACAGAAAAAAATCAGTCCATGTAGTAAAATTTTGCTAATACAAGTCGGTACAGTCAGGGGCCACGAGGTGGCGCCCTTGAGTCTGACCTAGCTATCCAGTAAGCGTTTAACAATGTGGTATTCATTTCCTCGCAGATAAGCAACAGATAGTACCTACACCTCCCAGGCTTCATCATCATACCAGCAACAAACCACTTCCAGACAACTTAAAATTAAATAGTTTTGGATAAACAAACAGCATTCCCATGTTCCAACATTCTCCAGATACCAGTCTTATCACCAGTTTTATGAGGGGGCAGATAGGAGGATTATAGCATTCCAGTAAATTAACAAAACAGTATCAAGAGGGAAGATTTACGCAGCAGCGCAGTACCTTTGGAGGTTTCCAGCCATTCCTGCTTGACGCTGTAGCGAACCTGAGCTTTGGGCTGACTCTCGGGGAGATGGCATTCGATCACAGCCGTGTTGCCTTCGTCAACTTCAATCTCCTGCTGAACGTCAGGCTCGAAGTCCCGAAGCTCTAAAAAATAAAAAACACAAGTCAGCTCTGTCACATAACTGCAAACCAACTCACTATTCTTTCAGCGGCGTAATACATTGTAAATCACTTCTAACTGCACATATACACAGTCAGTCCTCAGTGTTGGAAGAAAACCACAATAGTCTGAACAATAATAACTTTATTGTTTCCATGCAACGCCAGCTTCTCTCTGCTGTGTTGCAACCACATTGTTTCTTGAATGTTCTCTGTAGCCATTTCTATCCCACTGCTTGTGTTAACACGATCCAGTTAAAGTCCCTGGAGTTTTAACTAAGCATTCTTCTGCTCGAGTCATTTCACGGTGAACACCTAAATACGGTACCTTTAACATATGAGGAGGTGTCATTAATCCCATTATTGGATCTGGTTCGGAGTCTGTGGGAAACGATGGCGTGGGATTACTGGGGCCATGTGCTACAACTGTGTTCCGCAGACACAAAGTCTGCACGGCATAGATGCTCATCTGACCCCTGACCTCCTTAAACCCCTGCCTGAGCGGCCCAGAGGCCTGATGATGGGGTCAAAGGGAAGGACTGTTCGCCCAGAAGAGTTTCAGAAAAAGAGATCCAGTTTGGGTTTGAGAGGAAGCAGCTAAAACTCTGTTCCTGAGAGGCCGGAACCAAACCCATCTAATTCTCAGCAGGAGAGGCGATGCCATTTTATAAAAGTTAGAGCAGAAGGGAAACGAAAATGAGAGCGAGGGAAAATAAATAAGTCAGGGTGAAGAATGGGGGGGGGGGGGGGGGAACAGGAGAAACTTATGATGGAGTTCGACAGTAAAATGAAAGATAAATAAAACTTCTCCGGGAACGTAATTAAACGTCTACCAGCCTTTGTTGATTTATTCTTAACAAACATAGGCTCTCCATTCTTTCCAGAAGTGCTAGAACTGGTGTGTTTTTCTTGGCTCAGCCACACTTTTCATTGAAAAGTTAAAAAACAAAAAAAACTGCTGGTGCTTACAGTCAGCTGATCAGATTTTGTTTACAGCTCTAATTTAATATGCAAAGTTCAATGAAAGACACGGGATCAAGTGATAAAAACACTGGAGTGATTTACGTCTGCACAAACACGTCCGCTGATTAGTTCACCATGGCTGCTGGATCTGCCTGCATCTGGAGGAGCTTTAATGGGAGAAATGGGGGAGATCAGGGTCTACACACACACACACACAACAGGGCTCCATCTCAGACTCTTGTCAGCTTTGACTCTGAAAGATGAGAATCCAAGCCGGGGCATGTTGAGTTTTAGTGGTGTGTGTGCGTGAATGTCTTCAAGTGTGTGCGCTCCATTTGCTAAATCAATCAGGAGCTGTTTTTACAGACACCCATCTCCCTCCTGATATCTACCCATCCTACCATCTTCCTGCGTGTTTCTTTCTACATTTACACCTTCAAACCCTCTAACACACATCCACATTCTTCAGAGGAACAAGCCCTCATGGGTGCCTCTCAGGTGTGTGTGTGTGTGTGAGAGCATCCTGCACGTACAGAGGATTGATTGTATGCATAAAGTGAAGCGGACCTCCCACACCAGGGCTCTTTGGCAAGACCCACAAAAATATTTCAAGAGAGACAGTGTATTCATCATCTTTATGCGCCACAGCAGGAGGGCCCCCGCTTGTGTGTGTCTCTCAATTAGAACATGTTTGTGCAACGTGTTGTGCGTTCCCGTTGCACAGATATATGGCAGGGTGATTGTCAGAGCAAGAATTCAAGCAAGGAGCAGTTTTAACTTGTGCCAAAAAAATTTAAAAAAAGGGAGATTCTTCAGAGTCGGATAGTGTGGAGGGTCTGGAACCAACCTACACCGATTACAAAAAACATGTGTGTGCAGTTGAAAGAAAGGCAAGCATGTACAAATTCCCCGTGAAGCAACTCCTTGGGCAATTTGAGGGTGGCCGAGAAGGAATCGTTATTAAATTATATAAGTTTCGCTCTTTTTTTTGGACGAGGTGAAACATTCAGGTTCACCATATAGAGCTCAGAGCTTTTAAAGTGAAGTTCTGTGGAAAGGTTATGAACTTTTGATTTATTACCTGCTGTAGATAGCTCTTTAAACGACCTAGAGTTTAATTATGACCAGACTGACGAGCTATGAGCAATGTTCAAAACAAATCCAGTTCATGCAAACAGTGTCGGCATCAATTTTGCATTACATTGTTATTCTAGAAGTATTGTGAAGTACCTGCAGGAACTGCTGCAGGGCGCACTGAAGGTGCTACATTCAATCACTTTGGTCTTGGCCTCGTTTGGTCAAACTATTAGCGGTTCAATGCAGTCGGAATTAGGCCTGTCACGTTAACAAATTTTGCTGGGCGATTAATTTTCTCAGAAATTATTGCGATAAACGATAATATTGTTTGAAATTTGACAATAATTAGTAATAATTGTCAAATTTAAGGAGAAATGTTTGTTAATTTGTTTTGCATGTACAGTAGTACCTTTTTTTCCAACCACCAGATGGCAGTATAAGACTGAGCCAAAGGATGGATAGAAAGTGAGCGAGCAGCGCGTCTACGAAAAATGGGAGGGACGCCCCTTGACGTGACATGGGCTGTCCCTCTTCGATTCTCAAAATGGCAGACGCTCGGTGTGGTTTGAGCTCTTCAGTATAACAGTTTTTACACAAAGCTTTTAATTTAAAAAAATCAGTAAACAAGTTCTCAGCTTTTTTGTAAAGAAAAACAACTTTTTACACGAAGACACGAGTTTCAACCGTGAAATTTGGAGCTTCGACAAGACGGAGGTTTATTCCCCGAGGTCGGCCTGTTTTAGCTTGTAGCTTAGCTTCTCAGCTTAGCTGCTTTTAACAATCCAAAAACATGATTTTGGACGGTTAAAACGTATTTTAAACAGAAAAGTGAAAGTGAGTTGTCAGTGAAGAGCACCGGAGTTGAACCTTTTGTCATCCAGTGTCTTCAGTAGAAAGAGAGAGGAACAAAGAAACGATAAAGATGATAAATGAAAATGAGGTTGATAATTTTCATTTATCATGCGATTAATTGATTTATTGTTTTTTGCGACAGGCCTAGTCGGATTTATGTTCCATTTCTCAAAACTGAGATTTTTTAAGAGATGCGACAAGTACTGTCCAACACTTTTCAAATCAACTCCACTTCAAGAGATCTAAACAATGACTTTAATGTCCAGGGATGATTCGTCCACTTCTAGAGCCAACGGTAACTTTTAACGCCTTTAAACATATTTCGTTGGCAAAATGAAAAAAAAATGGGCAGTGAAAAGGGCAAAAATAGGAGAGTCGATAACAAAAGGATGGAGTGAAGTGGCAGTGAGAGTGAAAAATGTGCACAGCAAGGGGTGTGAGAGAGTGAGTTTATGGAGAGTGAGAACGTGACATTGTGTCTCGTCGTTATGTCAGGATCTTGTTTCGACTGGCCTAAAACACCTCCAGCTTCTCCAGTTAGGGCAAACATCAATCACATCAATGCATGTAAAACAATACGTTTAACAACAGCCTTGCTACACCCATATCCTCTGTCCACCCCCACCACACACACACCTCTTATCTCCCTTTAGCCCATAATGGGGTCATAATTTCTGGTGAGCCCTGCTGTCAGGTCCTGCAGAGAGGAATGTGGTGTTGTGAGGAGCAAAAGAGTCAACGGAGGCAAGGGGCCCCTGTGCTGAGCACTGGTCCCCTATATCCATACTCAGGCTGGCCCCCGGCCCCAGGGTCCCCTCCATTCCTAAAGCTCAAGTTTCACAGTTTCAGACACTCTCTCCATCCCATGATGCATATCAAATATAACACCACCCACTCTGACAGCAGAGCACTAAAAACCTAAGCATCAGCAGTCATTTTATTTCACTATTAGATTAATGTAAGTCAACATAAAAGCAGCTGTTTTGTCTACACAGAATGAGTTATGTCACTTACCAGTGATGTGTAACAGATTTTCACTGTAGCTGGTTTGTGTACTTTGTGAGGATTAGTTTCAGACTAACCACAACCAGTGGAAAAGTACAGGGTTTTCAATGTTGTACTGGTAAAGATCTGAAGCAAACAAATGCCACCTCCTCACTGTTTTTGTTCTAGTTGAAGAAAGTCAAGTCAAAGGCGTTCTTGGGATACGCTGAAAAACCAAACTCAAGAGAGGCTAAAAGAGGTCTGTGTGTTTGTGTTTATTTGGCACGGCTTTGAGGGGGTGGGTACTCACCGGCAGCAGTGACGTTAGCAGGAACGCTTGCCAGAGCTCCAGCATCGGTGCTGGCCACACACTGGTATCTGCCCAGAGTCAGGTTGGACAGAGCGGGGATGAACAGGCTGCTGGGACCCACTACCACACCGTAATCGCCGTCCGTCAACTGCTCGCCATTGAGACGCCAGCTGACTTGGGCTGAGACGGGTTGTGCGCTGCAGCGCAACGAGACACTGCCTCCAAACTTCTGCACCACGGACACAGGCTCCTCGGTGAACACCGGCACTTCGTCTGGAGAAGATTTTAAAAAAGCCGCATACATTTTTCTGCTAAAAACATCCTCAGAGCTGCACTGGATACTTCTTGCAGATGCTGAAAATCTAGTTGATGAAAATTTTCAGTCATTTACACAAAAAGGAATAAAAGTAAATGTAAGATCATGATCTTAATTTTGTTTTAAAAAGTGTTTGCTTCTTTTCCAACAATCTTGAACTTGGGGGGGGGGGGGAATGTAGCAAAGAAAAACATGTTACTACTTTTTTGCAAATCAAGGTTTCTTCTCCCTGTTCACCTACACAATTAAGATCACATAGCTGATCTAGGATAAACTAATCCAGACTACACTAATCCACCAGTTAAATTATTCAGTTACTCAAGCATTTGATTAGCATGGCTGAAATTAGTTCATCGGAGCTAATGGTACATGCCTGTTGCTGTTGATAAAAAAGGGATCTACATGCAAAAAAAACTACAGTTCTGGTTAATAAATATTTAAATACTAAAAAAAAATATAGTGAAACAGCAAATCTGAACCTCAGCAGAACATCTATTAAAGTGTTAAATTGTTCATGAAAATATACTCAATTGAATTTTATAAACTCAATCAGTTACCAAATTAATTTCCTTAAACAATTCAACTGATTAACAAGTAAACCATTTTAGTTTTCCGTACAACGCTTCTTTTCATATTCAGTTCGCCCATGGTGGCTGCTGCAGCTCATCCAAATTGGTCACTCATTCATGCGCATTTCAAACAAACTGCTATGGCTGTTGCCAGACATGTAAAACACTTCACTCCCTGTGCCAGAGCCAGAATACGTTTTTCCTGGCAGGAGTTATTGCGTACCAGGTGTTCAAGCTTGCAAAGTAAGGTCAGACTGGACAATGCACTGTTGATAAAAATTATATATTATATTCAGAAACTTAAAAAATAAAAATTAAATAAACAGAGTTCAAAACAGCTTTAGTGAAAAGGCAATATTTTTACGATCTCATTAACTCACCAGTGGCTGTAGCGCCGCTCTGCAGGCAGCACAGCAGTACTGCACCCAAAGCACACAACACTGGAACCCTTCTCTTTCTCATCCACAGAGTCCAGTTTTGCTTTCCAGACATTTTCCATACACTACCCCCTGAAAAACACAAGAGATAACAGTTAGAGGGACATTTACATGTTCTGTGCACTGAAAACAAACAGCATAAGCAAGGCTGTATGTTAAGTCATAACACAAACTGCAAAAACATCATCTGGGAAGCATACAAAAAAAAAAACTAAATAACTGAATTTATGTATGCATCCCTCTGTCTGCTTAAGTCAAGCTTGTATACATACGAATGCAAAAAGGCAGCCATTAACACAACCCAGGTGAGGCAGAGCACTCTGCAGAACCCTCAGCAGCCCAACTCCAGACACAAATAAATCCTTTCTTTTCTCTCGGCCCCCATCCCATCACTGACCTCGTCCCCTCCAGCCTGCACTCATCAAAGGGGCGCCCTTATTCTGCGGGCCGTAACCTGAGCCCTCCACCTTCCCGCTCAGGTGTAACCGATACAGGTAGAGTGACGAGGAGGAAGGAGGGATGGAGGAGAAGGGAGGGGAGGGGGAACACACAGATTGCATTCATGAGTTCGGACAAAGAGCGACTAACGAGAGGTAGGATGGTGGTGGTGGTGGTGGTGGTGGGGGGGGGTATCGCAGCAGTGAGGAGTACGTTTATATATTTCAGAACATTGTATTTTGGGAGTAAAATGAAGGGTAATAATGGTCTGTGTATGAGCAGTTAATGCAGAGAGAAGAGCTTTTCTTTCCCTTGTCGCTTGCTGCCAAGTTTCTTGAATTCTTTCCTGTCAGGTTAAACTAACAACTTCCCGTCAGGATAAGGAGGGTGGTCCTGAAAAACTCTTTCACTCCCCTTCTTTCACGTACATACAGTACACGTCGCAGAACATGCTCAGCTACCCTGTAAATGTAGAAGTAAAACAGAACTTTCACATATGTAGCTGTCCTGAGTCTGATCCTATTAGGGCAGCAGGGATGATTAATGGAGCTCAGTTTGGGGGGGGGGGGGTGCATAGAGGACAATAACCTAGTGGAAACTCTTACCTTCATCATCTAATGGCAGCAGTAAAAATGCTTAGCTGCCTGGCGCATTTATTGAAAAATGAGCAAAGGAGAACGCTCATGGAAAAAAAAAAAACTGCTAAACTAGACCACACGTTGTTGTCCTGCCATTTAAATACACACTGAGAATGCCTCGGTGATTTTACATGATGAATGTAAACATTAACAACAACAAAGCAGCACACACATGAAAACATGGTGTGCTGCTGATTAGACGTTGTGAATCAGCAAAAATTAACAAGTTAGAAGAAAATGCTGATTTATATCTATTTAAAAACTCTGTGGTTATTAAATAGAGGTAGCATCTGCTAGTTACAGCGCTTCTGTCAGCATAATCATCCTATTTCTGTTGTGATAACTAGGCCTGTCGCGATAAACAATAAATCAATTAATCGCATGATGACTGAAAATTATCGACCTCATTTTCATTTACCGGCTTTATTATTTCTTCGTGTCTCTTTCTTTCTACTGAAAACACGGCTCAACTCCGGTGTTCTTCACTGACACCGCTCTTTCTCTCCTCTCTTTAAAATCTGTTTCAACCGTCCAAAATCACGTTTTTGGATCGTTAAAAGCAGCTCCGCTGAGAAGCTAAGCTACGAGCTAAGCTAACAGGCCGACCTCCGGAATAAACCTCAGTCTTGTCGAGATCCAAAATTCACGGTTGAAACCCGTGCCTGCGTGTAAAAAGTTGTTTTTCTCTGAAAAAATAAGCTGAGAACTTGTTTACTGATTTTTATTAAAAGCTTTGTGTGAAAAATGCTATGCTAAAGACCTCAAATAACTTAGCATCCGCCATGTCGCCATGTCAGCCCATCTCACGTCAAGAACCCTCCCTCCCATTTTTCTTAAAGAGACGCGCTGCTTAACTATCCATCCTTTGGTTCAAACAGTCTTATACTGCCATCAGGTGGTCAAAAGAGGTACTACACTCCAAACAAATCAACATCTATTCTAAAATTTGACAATTATTGTTAAATTTCAAACAATATTATTGTTTATCGCAATAATTTTTGAGACAATCGCCCAGCAAAATTTGTTATCGTGACAGGCCTAGTAATAGCATGTACTGTAATGCAAATTTGGGACGATGTAAAGATTTATAAAATATTGTTCCACTGTATAATACACCAATGCTCTAGTCATAAATGTTTGTTGTTTGTTTGTGGTTGAGCAAAGATGTTTACAAAGGAAAAAAATAATCCTGAATCTAAAAATTACCAGCCAAAAACAAACTATCAGCTCGTTAATAAACACTTAACATTGACTTTGTTACTTTCAACATTTCTTAAAAGTTGAAACTGCAACTTATTGATAAAGTCACAGATATGCAGTTTGATTTACTCCCTCACCCACACAGAGTGGCCCGTCAGTAACAGGCTAACTCTGTAAACAAACAGCAAACTAATGTGGATCCAGGAGGCAGCAGAGCTGAAGGCCTGTGGCTTCTGTGGCTGGTTGCAGTATGGACACAACTCAAGACAGCTGCCCCATACATGTGCACAGAGCACCTGTTCCAACTGTGAGAGTCACTGACCATAAACCACACCAAACAGCCAGCCAAGTGGACACACACTGGGATGTGCCACCCAGCCGTGCAACCTCTTACCTGTCCAGTTCATCCCAAAACATATGAATCGACAGAAATGGAACAGAAACCAATAGCGCTTTGTAAGTAATAGTCACATTGGCAGGCCCCTCATACATCATCAGTCCCTTAAAAAACAGCCATACTCCTCTAAGTCTGTCTGATTCATTAGTCAGCTGTGTTTGCTTAGTGGATACCCTGCCTCAAGATGAAAAGTTGGTCCGACATCTCTGTCCAACTTTTTCCATCCATCCTTCTCTGAGAAGTCACAGGCGTACAGGCAGAAGAGCCTCCTACGCATCGAGGCGACTGATAAAAAACAGAGCACACTCCCAGACAGCTTCTCTAAATTAAGAGCCCAGGGTATGTTCCTGTGCCTTAGACTGTGTTGCAGCCTAAAAAAAAAAGCGTTGCAAGAAACCAAAAATGTAAACGACTGCAAATGTTGGCATCGATTTGTCCATGATGTCGCAGATCTATAATTAGTTAGTTAGCACTAAGTTTCCATTACTGTTGTTGGCAGCTTATTGAGTCACGTTGTAAAAAGTTACTCAATTAGAAAAAATCCAGGTGAGTCGGGAAGACTTTTGGTAAGCCAGCTCTGGCCCAGTAATAGCTGCCAGACTTGGTTGGGTTTTTAGATGTATGCATTAGGGCCAGTTTGGGCTCACAGCTCACACATTTATCCACATTTAGACTGACCACAAATCATGAGCATCTTCTTTTGCAAAATATAGACTTAAGTTTGGATTTCCCACCTGAATGGGAAATCTTTTATGCTATACGTAGGCTATTGCCTCTAGCTTGCTAGATTTGTAGGAGTCAAACCATTTATAGAATTAGACTGGCTTGTGCCTGATTGTACAAGGTCCTTTAAAGGATTGCTGTGTCATTAACTTGGTCATCTTAGGGGAAAAAAGTGTTGGTGTGTAGGCATGTATCATCAGTGTAGGTATGCGAGCTCCGTGTATGTTTTGCGAGAGAGTCACTTGACAGAAGTTCATTGTGAACGTGCTAAGTGAAGACACCGAGGCCCCTGTTTTCTAGAGGCACTGCCGGTCCCATTGTCCCCCTGCCTCTGTGGATAAATTCATTTTGACAACCCTGCTAATTGGATAAAACCGGACTGGAGCCTCCTCCCTGAGCTATCACATTCCATCTGCTTACTGGCATGGAGAAGACACACAAGGAAGCGGAGGTGGAGAAGGGGTAGTAGGGTAGTAACTCCTTCCGAGGAGCTGAGCTGTTGAATATTTATCACCTCCCTAAATTTCCTTCTCCCCCACCCCTCTCTAGTTTTATGTCTTTTTACACCCCTCCTTTTTCACTCTGGAGGTTCTCCAAGCACCACAAAGCCCCCCCTTTAGATAAACACATGCGGTGTCAAGTGTGAGGAGTGCTAGGGGTTCAACTGCCCTGCTCGGGCCCTAAGCCCACAATGCTGTGCTGCATAGCTGCCATGCGGGAGGCCGGTTGCCCCTGGCGACGCTAACAGGCAGAACGCACCTTAATAGAGTGGAGAGTCATTGTAAAGCAGTGAGCCGGTGCACGGACAAAGACCCCGCAGACCCCTGGAGAAAAGGGAGACGCTGCTCTGAAGAGCCCGGGTAAGAGATGATGGGCCATGCTCAATGACCAAAGAGCAGAGTGGGAGGGGGACTCAATGGCCAAGAGGTTCGAGAGTGGAGAGTTTGTGAAGACAGAATAAAGAAGGGGGGGTCAGTGCCTTTATCGATTGATGTGAGGATGGGTAAAGAGGGTTTATGGAGGCAGCGGTGCAGGGGGCGGTGACTATGAGCGCTGAACAGCGACTCAAATTAATATAGAGGACATCAACTGGCAGGCGAGCAGGAGGAGAGAGCAGGGCCTTGTCAATGAGAGGGAGTGTTTGTGAGAGCGTCCCTGAATGTCCCAACATATTTTCCCCTCATTCTATCAATCTGGTTGCTGGCCTCTCGGCCTCGCCTGGGGCTTGTGCCGAGTGGAGCATGAGGAGGAGAGTGCCGAGTTTGCTTAACAAACCAACACAACGCCCGGTTTACTATCACAACATCAAACAGGGATAGGACAAAAACAAAAATTTAAACTTTTCATCTTAATTTTTCAGTCATTCAACTATCAAACATCACAGTATAGTTAGTCGAGCACTGTAACAGAAAACAAATAGACTGACTTGTTGCATACGTTTCTATATCAGCTGGCATTATGTGATGCAGTTACTAGACTCTTAAACCTACCAGTTGTTTTGTCTTGGCAAAACATAACAGAAAAAAATAAAGGCATTAATTTCACATAGTTCTAGCAAAGTAACTATTACAGAAAAGCAGATGGTTGAACGGAGTCAATAACAGTTTGTAAATAACATGACACTGGAACTATTAACCATTAACCACATCTATTTTTTTCAGTGCAAATCTCATACT